ACGATGCCCTCACCAACAGGGAGGAGCAGCCCTGCAGGTGTGGTGCATTCCCTGGTGGATGCAGCCCTTCTGGTCCAGCCTTGACCCTCCCCTCACCCCCGTGCTCTGGCCCAGGTCTCACACGGCTCAGCACACACGGCAGGGAAGCGGAATTGGCACAGGGAGAGGTGCCTTGTTACACACCTGCCAGCTTGGCACCACACTGCTTTCTTCTCTCTCTTCCTCCCCCGCCTGGAGACTCAACATTTGTCCACAGTCCTCCTGATGTACTTCAGCCAAATCCCAGTTTAAAACGATGTTGCTTTGGAAAGAGAAGAAAAGGTGAGCAGCAGAGCTTTTGGAGGAAAACAAGGTCTACCACACTAAGGAAGGCATAAGGATGTAATTTAGAACTCAACGATTTGAGAAATGCCGATTTTCCTCTTTATTTTTCATGTGTTGATCACGTTTCTGCATTTTCGTGGAAGAAAAAGTAATCAAGAGACTAAAATTATCACAAATATTTACCTGTATTCAGGTGAGGGGCCACAGGTTCCTTCTGCAAAGGAAACTCAGCATTCATTGGGCAAATGAAGAAATTGCCTCTGAAGGATTTTTACCTGAAGGAAGATGTTTTCCGTGGACCTGTGGAGTGCAATCCTGGCAGGGGATTCAGATATTTGAAGTTGTGGTGATGCTTTTACTCGAGATAACGCCTTTTAAAAAATCCTCTACGGTGCCTTTAAAAGCCAGCGCTGCACAGCTGCACCATCTCGTGGTGTGACAGAGCCCTGCATGGCCCGAGCCTTTAAAACCCTCCTCATTTTCCCGAAACTTGGACCATGGATGCATCAAAGCCAAGTGCACCCAGTGCCAGACCATGTCACGGCTTGGCCACCACAGTTCAGAGCCATAAAGCCCCCTCCAGATTTCCCCCAGCTCCTGTCCTTCCTGCCTGCTCATCCCTCTCCCCGAGGTGCAACAGTCCAACCATTTTCCAACCACAGCCATCATCATTCCAAATATTTGCCTGATCCCTCCACTTATTACTTCAAGATCTATCCAGCAGATTAGAGATCAGGCCAGTGGGTGATTATTCATCTGAACCTGCTCTACCTGACTTACTAAGATGTGTTACAGATGATTCCAGTGAAATCAAGGCTCTGCTCACTATTTAGAGAAAATATTAAAAGGAATATTAAGGGTCACAGAGCTACAGCCCTGTGATGCAAAGCCAAGGGCAAGACCTGTATGTGCTCAGTCTCAGCCCTACTCCTACACAGCACCTGGCCTGACTCAGCTGTAAGTCCTTTCCAACCTAAATGATTCTATAATTCTGTGATTAAACAGGCTCAGGTCTTGACAAAAATCTTCCTCTCTTCTTCTAAATGCATTTGCTTGTGAAGGAGCAAAATGGCCCAAGACATCAGACTTTATGCCTGAGCGTTTCAGATGCATAAAAAACCCCACAGTGGTTCTCAACCTCTGAGGGTACAGCACGAAGTAAACAGGAGATTAGGCAGAGATTAGGAAAAAATCCTGAAGACATTTTTATAGAATGATTTTCCTGTTAAAAACACACATGAAAACGTCAGACTTTTATATTTCTGTGGGCTTGTCTTCCAGTAAATGCTTGACTTACACCCAGCTTCTTCACCATGCCCCTTCCATGCAGACCTAACTCGGGGACATGTGCCAGATGAAAAGCTGCTTCACAGGACCACCTTGAACCAATCCAACTCAAGCACAAGGCAGCTCCCCCAGTTCCTCCCAATCCCTTAGGGGATCAATGTTTGCCCACAGACAGTGTCAGGTCACCAGCTCACCACCACCACGGATGGATCAGCACTCACAACAGGCACTGCCAAAGTTAGGGAGGCAGATGCCACTGCAGCCTGGAAGGAAGGCAGGGATGTGCCTCCTGATCCACTCTCAGGCCCCTTTATCCCTACAAACCCAGGACAGGCAGGCAAGGAACCAACCCACAGCTTCAGGGGTGCTGTGAGCACCACAAGAGGGGTTCTGCACACAGGAACTGACAGGGGGTTGCACAGGAAACCCCACCAGTCCCCAACAGTTTTCTCCCACTTCCTTATCCCCTCCCAGAATCCAGGATCTTGCTCCTTTCTCAGCTCCCGCTTATGTACAGGCTTTAGAAGCAGCAAGATGGCTTTATTCAAACCTCAGCAGGTTAACCAAGAAGAACAGGAACTGAACCCACCTGCCAAATATGCTGCTAGAGGAAGGAGCCCTTGATGCTCAGCAGTCAGGGCTTTCATCTTTATTAAAGCCCAGCAAGTCCAAAGAGTTGTGAGAGGAATGGAATGAGGAGAACTCTCTGGCCTGATTCTCTGAAGTCTTTGCTTCCCCCTCCCAGTATTTCCCCCATGGAGAATGGCATGTGGGCACAGAGGGGGATTCCTGGGAGCAGCCCTCCACTACGTGCATTATCAGACATGAAGAGGATGAAAAAAATAACACAGATAGTTTATTGTCAAACTGAATCAAAGCGTGGAAAAAAAAATAAAATCACAAGGTTACACTGTAAAGAAATTTGGTTTTCATCACAAAAGCTCATTAAAATCGGACAAAAGAAAACAAGCCATTGTCAAGCCAGCAACTCCTCCGAGCCTTCGAGTGCAACATTTATTGAAACGCTGGGAATTCTGAGGTGGTGACATCGCGTTTGTAGGGACAGAACGATCAACCCTCATTATCTGGGAGAACAGAGGTTCTGTGAGGGGGTGACGTGTTTCTGGCTGAGCGGTGACTCCTCCGTTCGCCTTCAGGCAGCAGCAGCCTTGTCCTTGCTGGAGTCCAGCCCGAGACGATGGCCAAGGCTGGCGGGTGCCAGCTGCGCTGCCCTTCTTTGTCCAGCATTTTCCTGCAATTCACATCCTGATCAAGTGTGTTTACATCCCTAAATCAAGGGGCTGTTGCAAAATTAAAGGCTGTCGGGTGCGCAGAGAAGAGCAGTGGGAGCTACGACGGGTCCACCAAGGCCCGGGGACACAGACACGGCCAGCGCCTCCCAAATCCAGTTTGCTGCTGATCCAAGCAATGACCAAATCTAACCCTTTTAATTGCTTTTGAATCTGGGAAAGTGTGTAACTGCCTATGCAGAGCCCTGCCCTATGGAGTCAAACCCATCTGTGTGTGTCCTGGGTTTCAGAAATGCTCATTAAGTGGTATCGGGCAACTACGGAGAACCCGGCTCCTCAGCACAGCTCCTTCCCAACAAAACAACTCCTGGAAGCTTCCCAAGTTTGAGTCTGCCAACCTGTCCAAACCAATATATTACCCACAGATCATTTATTCACCAGTAGCTCCAGTGGAACCAGAGGAGTCCAGGAGAGCTTTGCCTGGTCTCCTGCCAGCGTAGCTGGGCTGAGGGGAAGTCTGGATGGCGAGGGTCGCTTGCCAGGAAAACTGCTGGAGACTGCAGGATCCCCTGGAGTGCAGCCCACCTGGAAGAGGCCCTATCCCATGCTGCAGGGGATTTCAGAGTGGTTGGCTTTCCTTCTGAGTCAAAAACACAATGAAATGGGGGAAAAACATGGGAAGGTGTTTAAGTACGTAGACTGTGGTGTGCTCGGCTTTAATCAGTCAGGACAGAACAACAAGGATCTTTCTCACTGCTATAAATGAGCTGTTTTATGAATTTTGAGACACTTGTTTTACTGAGTGGAAAAAAAGAAAGGCATCTTTATCCTAAGTAGCAGCTAAGGAGACTGGTAAAACTAAAAAAATCCCCTAAACAACCTCCCCCCAAAAACAAACCTAAAAGGATTTTTTTTTAAAAATCAACCCCCTGACTCACCAGTACAAAGTAAAGGCAGTCTAGTAATTCCAACTGATCACAGGACTAACTAAAAAATATTTTTAATTGCAACTAGTGTGCTATCTTGAGCCAGCTGCTTATTCCAACAGGCCTGAGGTTTTCTGCTCATAAAGCATCAATAATATGTGCCTTTTCCTAGAAAGGAAGGCTCTGCCTAAGTCTTATTGTGTCAGATAAAAAGTCCCAAAATAGATTTTCCAACCAAATAAAGTGTTTTATTCAGATATTCATGTGGATATGGCAGTGATGTTAAGAACAGCTATTCAAGTAGCTGAAGTAAGCCCTTCAAAAGAAGTCACACAGCTTTGAGACTTGAACAAATTATTGTATGATCTCATCCAAGAGATCTAAATAGCTGGAACATCTGCAAGAGTCGCCACCAATTTATTTAGCAGAGTTCAACAGTAGTTCATCAGCTCTGTTTGCACAAGCAGGTGCCAGGGCAGGCACTGAGGAGTCCTGCACACGACTTAAAAAAGAGGAGAGGGGGAAAAGGGTTAGACAGAGATGGATGATTTTATGATTTAACATGGATGTGCATTAGCAGGAATAAAGTCCCTGACAAATTAGGGCAGTGCCTTTTACTGAAGAAGTGCAGAATTTCTTTTTCCCAGAGAAGTATTACATGCACAAGTAACTATATTGTTAAAATTTTTTATTTGTGACAGTAAAGAAACCATTCAATACCTGATTGACAACACTTCTCTCTCCTGCAAACACTCATATGGTATCTGTAGTGTTTCTCAAGTATTGCTGGATTGTTCATTGCATCAAAGTGTAAACAGCTCCATCATAAGGAAAAAAAAAAAGAAGGAAAAAAAGAAAGAAAGAAACATTTCCATTGCTTACTCCTCTGTTAAGGAGTTCCCAAAAGACCTTTAACAAGGAAATAAAAGAGAGTCAGCTGGGATTTTACAATACCATGTGAAACAGAAAACTGACAGCTGGTTTTGCATAGTTACCCAGAGATTCTGAAGCAATTGCCCCACGCCAGCCTCACCTGCCCCCTCCTCGCCCCACAAAGGCAAAACATCACAGCACCTTGGAAATCAGAGGCACAAACTTGTTTCTGTTTTACAAATAGGGCTGTGCGGTACTGTGGTTTATTAGGTTAAAAACAACCTGTAAAACAGAGGATTTACGTCTCCAGAACTTATATAACTACTTTTTTTTTTTTTTGGATACACTGAAATTTCAAAAGCTGCAACATCAGCACACACCAGTGTCATTTAGATACTTTATTGTCCCCAACCAGTCTAATCAAAATCATGCTGTAAGAAAGTGATTTGCGTACACTGACAACCAAATGTCTCCAGGTGTTGAGCTTCCTCCGTGTAGAACTTCGCTGTTTAATAAAGATCAAAAGGGCAAAACAAAGAGACAAATTACTCTTCCAAAGCTACCTAAATGAACACAGCAATATTGTACATTTTGCTACCATCTCCCATTCCAAGCCTGCCACGCTTCCTGGTGGTTGTTAACAAGGACTCTGCGCACAGCCCTAGTTTACAAATGGCAATTTAATCGTTAACACCTCAGCTGAATTTAAAGAATCTAAGGCAATTCTGCCTTACAGCTTAATTCAAAAATACCTATACAGGCAAAAAACCGTTTTTAACCCGACATAAAAAGGACAACAGAACTTCAGGCCAGGCAGCATCTCTTTAGCTGAACAGGATGACCAACTGGAAAAGACTTTTTAATAACTTCTATAATATCCAGAAATAATAAAATTGAAACCCAGGGTTTATAACAGCCCTGGTGACCTGCATGCACTAACTGCACTTCAAAATATGCAAGAGATTTAGGAAACAAGTATTTTTTTTTTCCTATTTTAGTTTTTAAACTCTTGTATTCAAAATACAATCAAATACCCGTATTGCAAATTTTACAGACATTCCATTATCTGACTGTATGGACAGAACTATATTGCTTTGTTACAATCTAGAAACTAAATATAGAGCGTATGTATATCCACGCAAACTCAACACTTGAAATTTCAAGTACGATGATAAGTGTCAAAATAACCAACTAGGACAGTTTGATCCCTCTGGTCAAATCTGAATACACAGGGGAGTCCAAACCTGATTGCAGAGCACTCCAAGTGGGTTAAAAAATAAAAAATTACTCAAAACTTACAGAAAATACTCTTAATATTAAGAGATCAAAGCTGTGGCTAAGTTTTTTGCCTTTGTCACAAAATCTTATTTTAATGCTTTACTAAAACTAACTTATTAAAATAAGTTGGTTTTTTTTTTTGTTTTTAAATTTGTGGATTTTAAGAGCCAAAATAATACAGTGTTAAGTACGGTTGTACAGAACACCGTCAGAACCCTTCCTGCAGAAGCTGGTGCAGAAGTTCAGTTGCCCGTTCTATGTGGATTTTAGAACAATACAAGACACTTTTAATAGTCAACATTCATTCACAGACTTAAGGCAACTGGTTCATGAAATCGCTGCTTTCAGAGATGCAAAACGGATGACATGGTTTGTCTCACGTACAACAGGTCACCACGGTGGGTTATTTATTGTCTGTTTGGTCTAACGCTTGCGAGAAAAGTCTTTGAGTTTGTTTTTTTTTTTTCAGCCATTCCTCTCATACCTGCACGACTAACTACAACCTGAATACTTCCCTGCAAACTGCATTTGAAGCCCAGAAGCCGCAAAACGCAGTTGAAAAAAAAAATACTGCTCAGAGAACAACTTTTTCTTTTTTTTTCTTTTTTTTTTTTTTGGCAGCTTACGGTTTTCGTTACTCTGAAGTCAAATACAAAATTAAACAATCTTAAACCGAGAAAGGGAACGTTAATGGACTAACCAGAATCCATACGTCTCTCTCTTTTTTTTTCCCCCTGTTTTTTTTTCTTAAACAAAGTAGGCTTTTTTTTTTTTTTTTTAATTTTAGATTTGACGGTTTTGTCTTTTTGTTGTGGCACAGAATTGTACAGTACTAAGGTAATGCCAGCTGGTAAGAAACAAAACGGTGATGCCATACGGACTCACACAGAGTGTGACGGGACTGCCTCCAACACCCCTGGGTGCAGCCACAGCTGGAGCACAGCTGCTCACTTTTATACTGTACCTACAACCTACTCACTGCCTGCCCTTCTATGAACGTTGTTAAGCTGCTTCACCAATGGTTTTAGACGAGGATCACAAGCCAAGTCCATCGCAAAAAAAGTTGGTTTTGTCTTTTTTTTTTACCTCAAGTCTTCAAGACTTTGCGAGAGAAACAGGAAAGGCAAAGGGGATCTGCAATTCAGAGTTTAGCACGAGGCTAATTAGAAGCACCAAATAGTCCATTTAGTCTTCTCTGATGACAGCCAAACACAGCTGCACTTTTTTACATTTGCAGATTTCTGGGGTGGAGGATAATTAAAAGGTGACACTGGAAAGGGGGAGAAAAAGTAAGAAAGAAAAGGTGTGCCTTTTCTTCAAAGGCTTAAAATGTTTAAAAGTTATTCAACTGAAAAAGCACCTCTGACACTGCAGAAGATGCTAAGCAGGTTCTCAGACTCGGAGATGAGTCTAACTCAACTCCAAGGCCAGAGGAGCCATTTTAGTCTAGGCTAGTAACTTGTGCCCTTCTAGCAAAGCTCGATACAGCTCCCAATCTGTACCTTACAGCTTGGGGGGAAAAAGAAATACAAATCAGAGATGCGAGCAAAATGCTTTTTTGCATTTTTATATCCCAACGAAAGGAGAGGGCTTCACCCCAATTGAAAAAAAAAAAAAGGAATTAAAAAAAATACCCTTTACAGGTCACCTTTTAACTGAGTTCTCTGCTATTTCAGATACCATTGGATTAATCCATGGGGGTGGGTTATGAAGCCTGCATTTTATTTATTGCCCAAGTTTGCAGCTTACAGAAAATGTTTCATAGCACAGGCACAGTGGCAAAAACAGTATAACAGCCGATGGTCAACTCCATTTGGTGAGTATACAGTAGCAGCAATTAAAAGAAAAAAGTACTCCAAACAGCTCAACACATATCCAGCTTACCCAGAAGGGTTGTTTTAAGAAAAGAACCTTAAACTAATAAATAGATCTCCTCCTCCCCGTTCTCCCAAGATAATTGTTTTCCGAAAATCGAGAGGCATGGCAGTTGTGCGTAAGCAGAGACAACAGAACTTCATCTGTCTACAAGAGAAGGTGCTTTAAGGTCTATCAGCCACCTTGTTTTCTCAATTCCATCATTCCCTAGCGCTCAAAACAACTGCAGATATGTTCCAAACTGTGCCCAAAATCATCATCGGTGAAACAACCATGTAATGAACCCAATTCACCCCTCCCACGAAACGCCCGAACCTTCCGAGCGTGACAAAATGTGATGCAACTTAATGTCACTGTGGAGACAGGAACCCAGCATCTTGGTTTCAACTTTTTCCTTTGTTATATATTACAGTGCTCTATAAAATTTTTTCCTTTTTCCTTTTTAAAGCATTTAGACAATACAAGACTAAAAGATGTCTGGAAATACGTCTTATACAAAAATGAATTTTTTTTATCTTAAAATAACATTCAAAAAGGCACTTCATTCTGTAAGAAAAAATTCAGAGTCAGGTCAACTGCTCTAAGCAGGGGGGTAAAATTGTCTGCATAGTGGGAGGGGAAGAAAGGGAGAGAAATTCAACTGCTGAAATACAAGCTTCTTTTTTTTTTTGGCATGTTTTAAGAAAAGCTGATCCAGTAAAAGATGTCCATTTATGAAATTAATTAAAAGAGTCCCACTTAAAATAGCTTCTTTTTTTTTTTTCCTTTAAAAAAGTAGTCTGAACACATGACCTTAGGAGTCAGGCTTCTGAAGGCTTAAGAGCATCACTCATGATTGTCCTTCGTGTCCAATGTAACAGGAAGATCAAGAGTAGCACTTCTGACAGGGGTGACCTCCCCAAAGCTTACATTTGAAAGAGCTGAAAAAGATGGAGACAGCCTCTAGCAACTGCAATCTAGTAGCAGAAGTCAGTCAAAGTTAAGGGCTACCTGTTGCAGAGTTTATGAAGCATACTGTAAACTTCTTCCTCTTTGCTTAGTCCTTCAAAGAAAGGAATAAGATCTAGCAGCTCTGTGTCTGTCATGTCATCAAACCAGGACTGCACAGGCACCTGAAACAAAGCAACCAACAAACACTGAGAGGGTTTCATGATGTGAGGGGACACGTGAGTTTTGCCTGTGTGGGTGTCCCGTAACACTCATCATGGCAATAAGGCAAATTGCTAATCATTAGCATTTAGGTGGAGCACCGGGTTCAAGCCCATGTTTTCTAGCACCCAACCCCAACCCCAAAGCCAACTGCAGGACAGGCTGACCTTCACCTGCATGTCCAGGTCACCTACGTGACCCCACACTGGGCAGCTCGACTTGCTCTGCCTCCTTAACATTCCAGAACAGACTGGAGGGAAGACACAGGTTATAAAGCTGCACTGACAGTTTATTTACAGGCAAGTCTTTTTTTTTTTTTTCCCCTCTCTAAGAATTATCAGTGTGAGTCACCAGACAGAGGAATGCAGCAACAACCCCTTCTGGCAAGGGGTTTGGAGGAAATATTTAACAGCGAGTACAGAACAGAGCTCAGATTAAAATATTAAGACCTCGAGAACAGGTTCAGAAAATAATGCATGTAATAACCCTTCTTAAATATGTGGGCTGGATGTGTATCTTCATGATGGAAGTGCACTGAGGTCTTTTAAAGACTATCTTGGATCTTGTTACAAGCTCTGGTTTCTGCAGAGACTCAAGTATCAGTTCGCTAGCAGCACTTTTCTATACATGATTAAACCACTCTGACAAGGCCCTTAACTTCATCTCCCAAATTTCTACAGCTCATTATTTTCTTGGCACTGATTTCTGAGATACCAAACGAAGATCTGGTTCAGGTTTTTGATTTTAATCATGAACATAAATTTAGAGCTTCAGCTCCTGGTTATTATAAATGGCAACTTTAAACCACGTGCGGCACCAACTAGAGAAATGTTTTCACCACATCACTTGAGGCATCACAGTTTTAGGATCTGAACTTAAAAGCTGCCTGCTGCAAGATAAACAGCTCATGTTAAAAAAAAAAAAAGCCATTCCAGAGAGGCAGGACCACGGAAAACAGTGGTCCTGATAAAAATTTTCCTACACTAATTTTAACAGTTCACACAGACAACAGCCTAAAAACATCAAAGAAAGCACTGCACAGCCTGGTTGTTTAAAAGTCAGTAGATGTAAGGGAGTTCCAGCTTCTACCCTGGCAGCTACAAAGCAGCTGTGAGCATCTGTACTGACTGCAGCCATGGAGGGAGCAAGTGCCAGACCATTCCATGCGAGCTCCTGGAGCCACCAAACACACAGTGACAATGCACACTGCTCCTAATTACTCACCCCTGAAGTACTACTGCCTGTCTTTTATCCTTGTTCCTAAAACTTGATGAATTTGTTGGCTAACATTTCTAATTATGAAGGGAGTTATCACAAAAACACTTGAAGGAGAAGCATAACAACACAACAGGATCTTGATTTTTTTTCCTTCCCTTGCCTGCAAACACAGATTTCAGATAGCAACCAGCAAAGCATTCATTCTCCTGCCTAATAAAATATTTTTCATTCCCAAAATGAAAAAAGACGGGAGTACAAGAAGTTGTTCAAACAAACCATTCTATCTGTAATCACCACTGCAAAGAACAAAAGCTGTGCTGCAGGGCAGCTTTGGTTTTTAGAGCTAAGTTAGTTCCTCAGGTTCCACACCACCTGGTATTTCTCAGAGCTGTTGGACTTCATGCCACAAGCTAAAGCTGAAAGCACATGAACAGCCATGGCTATGACACGCTGTCAAGATCAGTTTGCCCATGTCCTTCACCACTTGGCAGTGAATCCCAGAAGCTACCTGCAGCCTAAGAAAATACAGAAACTAATACAAGACAGGGCTCTGAAAGGTTATTTTCTGAATCAGAAGGTCTGGGCAAGGAACAGAAAGATAAAGTCACGCTCCAGTACTTCGAATACTTACTGCATTTTCAGGATGGAAGATGTAAGATGCAGGAGAATTATCTACTATAATAACTTTACTCAGCTCACGTCCCAGTCGACTCAGATCCTTCACATAATTTCCTCGGTGGAAAACACAGGATTCTCTAAAGAGCCTTGCCCTGAACACACCCCAGCGATCCAGTAAGTCGGCCACTGGGTCTGCATACTTAAAAATAGAAGTCAGAAACATGGAGTTAGCAGCATACAGATAAGGCTGGTTCACAGAGCCAGGCAAAGGAGGGACACGAAATAATCTCAGATAAAATGCCCTTTCTCCGTTTTCTTCCTTGCTCCTCATTAATTAACTTACTTGCCTGCAAACCTGAAGTGATTAATAAAGAGATAATGCAAAAGTAGGACAATTATCTTTCTGCAGAAGGCTAACTTGCACTCTGATGTTTTCTGTGATTTATTGATTAGGTTTTATTCTTAGGGCCAACTTAAGAGTTACTGTAAGAGTTTTCCAGAGGTTGATGGATGGATCCAGAGATCTCAACTAACATTACTGTAAAACCAGCCAGTGCTAACAGAAAATCTACAGGAAGCATTTCCACAGCTGATTTGTTTCCATGTGCCTCTAAATATAAACTGCAAGGAACACATCTGAGCCTGATGTGGCTTTTCCAAGTGATGCCCTTGGAGTGACTGGGTCAGTAAGACTCTTAAGGTTACCAAATTGCATAACTGGGCCACAGAGGATCAGGCAAAGATGTTATTAGGAAAAATACCACAATACTAGAGAAATTCTCATTTTATACATAAGATGATACTTGAGGTGAGGCACAGCTTAGAATCCAACAATTGATATAAAGTGACCAAGAAAAAGTATCCAAATAAACCAAAACATGAATAACTACATACTTGAAAGAGGTAGTTGTAGCTTATTATTGCAGGGTAGGAGTTACCATTTTGCTATATTTTTTTTCTGTATTTTAAACTGAGAAACAAAACTGATGTTGAAATCATCTTCTGACTATGAAAAATTAACAGACACCTTACTTCAGTATGAAATTGTTGCAGTATTCAGGAGTTTTACAACACAACTGAACAGAACATGGTAAAGAGAATTCAGGGTAGAATCCTCTGGTAGGAAGGCATTATAGATCAGGGTCCTGCCCCCTTCTACCATCACTAGGTTGCACTAAAAGCTTGCCATGCTAGAGCATTATTTAGAAATAACCAATATAACTTTACAAACAAGACACCACAAATACAGTACACTGAAGGTGAAGAATTTAAGATCAGTCCACTACTGTAACATCTACCACAAAACTACCTACGAACTACTACCGCTACTGCAGACCAGAGGGCACAAAATATTCCTGCTGACGTTTCAGGCTTTGCAAAAAAACGTCTCATTTTCCAACTCCAGATTTGCAATTGCACCTTGACAGGACAAAACCCCAAAAAAACGTGTTCCCAATTTTCAGCAAATTTCTGAGTCACTGGTTGGTCGTGCGGATGGCGATTAATTCGGTGTGTTTTATTTCATGCCCAGCTTTAATGTGCTGCTTTACTCGCACACTAGTTGTTCTAATTTCTCACTATAACCATGGTAACTTGTGAGCCTTTCATATTGGCATCATGAGCAATGCATGGAGGCTACATTATGAGACGAGCCCATATGTGATGGTGTTACCATGGAAACACTTACCCACACACTAGCAGACAAAGTACACACTGTCAGACAAAGAAGCAGAAAAGAAGGGGAAAAATTAAGATAGTACCAACTGTGGAAATAATTATCCATAGAAAACCCAACCAAAAAGTCCACTGACCAGCACTGAAAAGGTTAATGAGATGAGGAGAGGAACAAACCTTGGCTAGACTGGCTGTGAAGAGTACACATTCAAAGAGCTCTCCCATCCTCTGAAGAAACTCATCCACATGTGGTCGTTTCAAAACATAAACCTGGAATGATAATGACATTTAGGTCAGATGGTGCTCAAGGAAAATTTAAAAAAAAAACCAAACCAAACCACTCCTGCAATCCCAACACTTGAAGGAACAAAAGTTAACAGGGAAGCAGTTCAAACGAGATGCTGAAAATAAAAAAAGAAGTGCACAAGATAAAAGTAGAGATCCAATAATGAGAGATTGGCACGCACAGGCTGCCAAACCCCATGCTGATTATGCCATTGCAAACACTGTGCATCATCTGGAGTGATGCTTCTGGAAAAATCTCATTAAAGGCAAAGAGAGACAGGAGGCCTTCTCAAGGAACGAGGATTCGCGTCTCTCAACCAAAACCATTTTGGTGTTGGTGCCTTCGGTGCTGAAGAGCTTTACGGAGGGAATAAATTCGATGAAAACTCTTGTGATGACAGGAACTGCACAACAGGGAGCTGTTTTCTCTCTGTGGCTAATTCTTTCATTCTTTTAAATTCCAGGTGCTAAGCACCACATCTCACCATGGAGAGTTATCAGTCATCCAGCTCTGCAGGGAGCTTTGTTCACCAAAAGCATTCCCAGCACCACGCAGAATGTCTAAAAATGCTGTTTTCAAAAGAAAGTCTGCAGCATCTTCTACGAGGAGCTTGCCCTAAAGATGGCAAATACTCAAGATCTCTCTCCTCTTGAGCATCCTGCTCTCAGCAATGCTGTCCTGCCTTTTTGCACTGACATCCACACAGGCAGCTTGGCTGCCTACTGTCAACAACCTGATTAACAAATATTAGGGCCTCCCTGCCTCTCTTTCCAGAGCAAGCAAGATGATTTTGCATTCACAGAAAATACCAAGATAAGATAACTGCTGCTCAGAAAGCTTGGAAGTAGCTCACAACATACTGGGAAGCTGAAGAGGGGAGTCTGCTTAAAAAATATTTATCTATCTTGTTTGCAGTTAGATTAGAAGTTTGAGAGAAAACACTGGCAGCATTTTATCTTCTTTGTTTGGCAAATAATCCTCAATACTGGAAATTTCAAGTGGAGAAGTCTGGCATAGAACCGACTGAAATTTCAGGAATTTCCTTCTTTGACATGTTAAACTAGATTAATTTTATGTGTTTTACTAGCTTCATATTAATAAGAGGTAAAAAAATGGAGGTACCCAGAGAAAAGGCCTGAAGGAGAAAAATACAGAAACAGCAGCTTGAACTGAAGTGTAACAATTAAAGCCTCCAGCAAAAGAAAAAAAGTGTGTAATTGGAAACTGAAAACCTCAATCTGAAAGCAAAGTTTTATTAACAACATATACGATGGAGCTGCACCTCAATGACTAAATCAGAAATGTTAATTACTCTTCCACTTTATGTAGCATACAGATCATACCATGAAGCCTTGACCTTCTTTAAGTCATTCCTATGAAATTTATCTAAACTATTTCTGGCCTCATAAACATTACATTCAAAGTTTGATACAGATAACAATTTATAACTCATATATATTTTTTTAAACAATCACAGCAGCACCTCACCCATCAAATAAATGTGACATTTTATGAAGTAAAGACAGTTAACAGATGTACTTCAACACCACTCTTTCCAGACAATTACAGCAATGTTTCCTGTATTCCACCAGGCATAAACCAAGTAATTTCCTCCCCTATAACAATGCAATTAATTGTTCATTAAGTCTTACTAAACAAAGTTGTTCTGTAGTATTTCCTAAATTCTATCTTTGAATTTTTTAAAGACACAGATAAAAAGACAGCTGCAGCCCCCCTGCTTTTGGGTACCCAGAGACTATCCAACTTCCCAGTTGTAAGAAGAAAGATAGCAGGATCCAAGTTACTCCTTAATAATGAAGTTTTTAATTCTTTAGCCTTAAATTATATTTTTGAGGGCACAAAAGGGGCACCCCAGACTCTTAACTAGATAGTTAGTGCTGGAATTTAACATTAATTTCCCTTCTAAAGCCCAGTGTTTTCAGCCACAGCAAAAGAAGACTCCTCTTTGCTCTCCATCCCTATCTATTCCCCTGCTGGCAAAGTATTTCCACTTGGAATGTAATTACAAACTCCCTGCCAAGGATATGAACTTTGCTGCTTGCAACATAACCCACCTCCTCCATAAGGAGAGCACACAGTAAATCAACCCCGGAGCTGCAGCCCAAGAGCTCCCAAACCACAGGCTTGTGCTGTATTTGCAGGCAAGTCCTTGCAGGAAGTGCTCTTCTGGCTATTTGCAGGTCTCCTAATGCTGCACCTCCTCAGTGTTTAGCAATAAATACACAGCATTTTAAGTTGTGCTGTCCCCCTTCTGCAGTTTAGATCTCCTGCTCCACCAAAGGGCACCCACAACCTCCACTACTTGAGTTTCTTGCTGTTTTGCCTTAAATCTTCCCTGCTGGGATCTGGCCAACAGATTTGCTTCTCATGCTAAATGCCTGATCAATAATAAATGTCATCTCTCAGGATGAAGTCTCAATAAACTTTCTCTTTAATTATTTCCCTCTGTAAAAGGCCTTCATTCCTTCCCTCCCCCTTCTTTTTTTAACAACACTGATTTTTTTTTCTTTGGCAGAACAACATATCTTAATACTTTGGATAGTTATTCTCCTTCAAGTTTTCTTTGGGAAGTCCTACTTAGCCCCTGGAAGCAACTCCAAGTGTACTGGTATCCTGGGCTACAAAATCTCTTTGGTTTACTTCACATAAAAAGCTTTCTTCAGCTGACAGTGCAGCTCTTTTCTCCTCTTCCTCCTCATTTGGAATTTTTTCCCCCTTTACTTTGTTAGTGGCTGGACTTGAATCTCAATGCTGCCTGGTTATTTGTGGCTTGGCTTTTTCCTCTGTTGCCTGATGGCTTCAGTTTAAGTCTCTAGACTAACTGGCTCCTGGCATTTTTCTGAGATTTATATACTGTCTTTAGGGCATTAAAAAATATACATATCCCTCCAATTTTTTTGTGTGTTGTGTGTTAACTAATTTCTTCCTTATCACAGCAAGAATTTGGAGGAATACAGTCTTCTTTTTATTATTTAAAATGAACCCTACTCTCCACATGTTAAGCACAAATCAGGCAGTAGGCATGTTTTCACAGGATTCTTACAGCTGCTAATGGCAGAACACAAGTAATTATCTTTAATTGTTCCCAAGCATTTTGTATTTCCACATAAATTTTCTATACCTCAAAGCAGTCTTAACCTAGAGAGACTCAGTATTTGTGAAACCAGAAGAAAAACCCAGCTCCATTTTGATCAATTAAATGGGACACAAAGAATTGGCTTCCAAAACCTGGTTTCCAATAACAAAATCTGCAAGTAATGACCAAAAAAATCTGCCCAGGACAACTCCAACTCCCGTGATCTCCCGTTCCGTGGGTTGGTGCATCTTCTGAGCAGAAAATAAGACATGTCCTCGAGCCTCCTCGTGCTGGGTCACACAGTTGTGGTTGTCTCCCAGTGCAAGTAACCAAGAATAGGCCAGTTAGAATGGATACAGCCTATCCTGGATTACTTGAACCAGGCCACAGCCTTCTGTAAGGAAATCCATGGATTTTGTGCTTTACAGAAAGGAAGTTTATTATTCAAACAGCTTTTTCCCCACACACTATTAAAAAACATTTTGCATATTACACTCAAAGTGCACAGGTCAAATGTTTCTTTAGCTTTCAACAACTAAACCAAGCAATTGTTAACTGAACTAAAAAACCAAACACTAAAAACCAGTTTTACTCAACGAATTAAATTTAAGAATGAAATTCCAAGTAACACCAAACTCCTCCTGGCTGCCTCCTTTTACACTTTGACACCGACAGCAAGGCACAAATGCACTGCAACTCATTTGGATAAAAGACAAAAGGACAACTATAACCTAAAAATCTTCCCTTACTGGGGATTAAAGCTACATTTAACATGCAGTTTCTGATGTGGGGGCTTTGGTCACTCTGCACTCGTTCAGTGGGAAGCAGCTCCGAAGGCAGAAGTTACATCAAGGTTGAACATCTTTCCCCAGCCACTACTTCCACCCTCAATAAGCCTCCTCTCAGTTGCAACACATTTCACTGAACTTCCCACAGTTTATTCCTTATAATTTGGTAGAGTGGGAGACCAGCTCTGGTTTCCTTTTATCCAGAGAACCAGGGTGAAGTGAGAGAACTGGCCAGAGAGGGTCAGCTCACATCAGAACTGCCCTGCTGTGTCTGTGCCACCATTCCCAACACAAAGCGTGGGATTCTTCTCCTGGAATTCCAGCTGCCCTCAGATGGGTACAGTCTCTGCAGGCATCTAAAGGCCCACAACAGAAAGAAAGGGAGGTGCTTCCACACGTGATTTATTTCCTTCCAAAATCAAATGACAAATCCTTCCCAAAGATAAGGTATTTCGGGCCAGAGTAAGAAAGATGGGAGAGGGAAAAGGGGTGTTCAGAAAAGCTGTTTTTTAATCTGGGAAGCTCGTTTACCCAAGCACCCTTTAAGATGATGAATTATCCTCCCTATATAAAAAAAAAAGAGTTTCTCTGAGCTTTGGATTATAAATTATGTAAGGGAAAACAAACTCCCCAAACTAAAGACAGTATTTTTTTGAATACCTCTGTTGAACAGCAAAAAATACAGCATTTACCATGAAAAAACTTGTCAGGTATGCAAACCTCAAAACTCTTTCAAGCGCACAGCAACTGAATTTGCCACAACTCGTGTTTTTGGTGCACGAGACCCAAACAATCTCACGTTATTTCAAATTTCTCCCTGAATGGGCACTTCTGAAATGGTTTTTTCCCTGTTTGTTCTGTCTCTAAGGCAGAGTTCAAGAACGACAATAATCTGTCAGACCATCTCGTGCCTGATAAGGTACCAGGTTTACTGGTAAAGCAGGTGGGGATATGCACTGTGGGCAGGATGGTTCCACAACATCTCACATATCCCACGGTGTTTTACACACATGGAAGTATTTCCCAAGGTCAATGATTAATCTTTGAGTGTATGAACTGCTTAGGAAAATGGATGAGCATTACCCAGATGACAAATTCTGAGAAATAACAAAAATTGACTCATGTTTATGCTCTAAGTGACTGAAGAATTACAGGTTTGAGGCGGGAACAGGTTGTCAAAGCTCCACAGCCTGTGTTAATGCACAGACTCAGCCAGAATATCCCTTTTTGCCCTTTAGTTTGTCACAGTGTAAAAAGAAAAAAAAAAGATGCCTGAGTGACAGGACATTACTTTGCCTACAGAGGTGTTACAAACACAGACTTTGCTTATTCTGCGTGACACGTAAATTACCTTTATTTCAAGAATCACAAATTCCTCACAATTAACTTCATTTTGACCACCCAAATGTGACTGAGGTATTTACCTATTTTAGAGATTAAGAACTGGATATTTTAAGAGATTAAAAACTGGAAATACAAAAGGGATTAAGCAATATCCTTGAAAATTATGCAGGAAGTCTCCAGCAAAGCACAGTCAGAGACTCATTTCACTCGATCTTCTCTGTTAAGGAGAAGGAGATCCAAAAATCCACTCCCTCTGGCCAGTTGTGGGGTTTTTGTTTGTTTGGGGATTTTTTTGTTGCTGTTTTCTCTTTTCCCCCACATGCAGTCACCTCAAGTGCCAAACTGCATCACGTTTGGTGAAGAATTTCAGAGTTTGCAGCAGGGAATGGAAAAGCAACTGGCTTTTGAAGTGCTTGACTGTAAAGCCCAGATAGTCTTTTATTGAGATTTGTTTCGAAATGTAAATATATCACCTTGACAAGCTAAGTGGTGAGAATTCTAAGCCACTCAAAAATTCACTTTCAAAAGCATTCTATGAAGTTTTAGGAGAGAAAATGTCTGTTTTACAGCACCAAACACAACTAAAGCCCACATCAAACCAGGATTGACAGTATCACAAATCTCCCAAAACATCACTTAGTGTTTTAAGCATCAGCTCTGCTGAACGTTACAGGTGTAAGTAACCTAGATATTGAGTTTTTCCACAGAAAACAGGCACAGTGTAAAAACTGTCAAAGCAACTATTACTTTAAAGCACATTTCTGTCCACTGACTGGTATTTAGTAATTATTTTAAGAGTGACAATTACATGGGTAGTTTTCATAAGAGGAAATGAAACGAAACTATGAACTTTACAATCTATCAATTAGTCCAAGATTAAAATACAAAACTCTCTGTCCAAGTAAAAATAATCCATATAAAACCCCCCAACATTTCAACAATTAAAGTTCTTAAAATCTCCATTAAATCACATCCAGGGAAGATGTGCAACTCAATGACTGCATTATCTGTAACCTACAACACCCAGCAGAGAAGATGCTTCAAACAATTTGCAAGGTTCATGTATCAGAAGGGCTCAACTTCAAATTAACCTGCTTAACTCATCTCCAGCAAGACCTTCAATGTCTGTCTGAAGAGGAAAATTTATGGCACTGTAATTTCTTTCATTTGGGGGTTTCAGAAAAGACTACTGATTAAAGACCAAGCTAAAATACATGAAGGGGATTGATTTTCAAATTATGGGTGTTTTGCATTTACTGAAAACCATTTCTCAGAGCCATAAGTGAAGTTCTTAAAGAGTAAGACATAAAAATTAGTCTCCTCGCAATTTTGTCCAGACCTTTTAAAATATGCTGAAGTATATAAAAAAACCCCTCCTATCAGAGGAACTTTTATTACTTACAGGAATAAAAGGGGACAGAAATTAAACACAGACTGCCACAAAAACCTGAGGAATGTCTGTTCTTCCTTACTACCTTTGTAAAGTTTGGTCCATATGAGCTACCAACAGACATTAAAGCCAACTTATGTCCTGTTTGTCTTGGAAGGAATGGGAAATGCAGTATTCCAGTAGCTTTTTCTGGGTTCTAGTCATGTTTGAAATCCCATTCTTAGATGACTTGTTGTTTGAAAATGTTTTAAAATTGACAAAGAATCAAGTATTGAAGTCCTGAGACAGAGTTTCTACCTGATCAAACAGGGATGCCTTTCTGGATGGTACATTCCAGAATACACAGTTTCCGTGTTTTGCAAAGGTTACTGAATGCAAAGCAGCAAATGGAAAAAGAGAACACTCTGGGGCACTCTGGACATGATGCTGAAGGAACAACAGCACTTACCTGATGTATGGTTCCATCGATTTCGACAGGAACGATGAAATCAGCATTGCTAATTGGCTGCAAAGAATGACAAGGAAACAACCAACATTAAAAACGCCATCATTGGAGGGAAAATTTCAGACCTGTAAAAGGGAAGAGCACCTACTTCTCAGGAACAAGTTAATAAGCATTACTGACTGTACAAATTCACTCTGTGTGTGCTCTTCACACACACGTCAGAAGCCTCACAGTTGTATTCCCGGATGCTGCAATTCCCTCTTCTCTCATATTTTGGAGCTTCATGCAACGTAATACACTTCACTGCCTGAATAACCCCCTCTACCACTGAGTCTGTTTACCAGGAAAACATCTATTTGGCTAAACTCTTCCATCAAGTCTGTGTGGATACTTGATAATCAAGAAAATCAGCTATGTGCTTCACGTATTCTGTTCTGGGTCATCAAGCAGTAATTAATTAAAAGTAAAGACAGTGGTAACAGTAATACCTAATGGTTATACTTGAATATAACAAGACTCAAGTTGTATAGCTAATTGATTCTCAAGATGCCACACTTGAAGAACCAATGGCAATCAATTTAATCATGTAAAATGGCATTTTAATTCCAAGGGGAAGAGCAGACACACTCTGCCCAAGTCCTTGAATCCACTTTTCTAGCCTGTCGATCACAACTTATTTCTTAAGACTTACTGTGAGAAACTGCTGGTCAAGTAAAACTGCTTTGGAAAGCAGGAAAGTGGCCTTGTAGGCAGTTTAAGAGTACATAATCTAATCTTGGCTAGACAGCAGTGGTAGTTGGGAACACACTGCTAACAATGTTTACTAGTTCAAATGGACACCCAGCTTGGCAGAAGCCTTGGGTACAGCTCATGCTTTATGTCGATGATAAAAAAGTAGCCATGTAAACATGCCTGGCTGAAGCTTGTAACTCATTCCATCATCTGCAGCTTGGAAATGGCTGAGACAGAGCTGCCAAATACAATTTTAACATGACTGATTAACAGACAATATGCTCCATGGATAAGAGCCTAGAACGAGGGCTGGGAGCAGTCTGGTAACTGGTGTTACTAAGCTAAGGCTGGAAAACGTCTTCACTCAGCTCTACTACACTTGTGCAGACCTTTCCACCTGGTTTTCTGGATCAGACTGATCTCAGGAACCACCAAGAAGACGCCCCTGAAGAATCTGTGAGACTAGAAACAGACTTCAGACCCACTCAGGGGGGCAAGGGGGTGCCAAGAAAGCAGAGAAGCAGCCAAGGTAAAGAGCAGATCACAAACTGGTGAGCCTCAACAGGTGCTCTGTGAAAAATGGTGGGAAAAGAGAATCCTGCAGCAGGAACCTGACAGCACCACTTTGATCCCATTCCCTGGAGAAACAAGATTCTAACTGCACCATGAACAAACCTTCCTACGAGGAGAGCAAAATGACCGCAGGAATTTCTATGGAGGGCAACACCCTCTCTCCGGAGCAAAGTAATGAGGAAGAGAGTTTGATCTGACACCTGGAAGTGCTGGGCAAGAGGGCAAAGGAGAGGCTACACGGAATCTACTCATCCTGACCAACCAGTATTGGCAATCAGATCTCTGGAGCAGATGAAGCTGGAAAACTCCACTCTGCTGATGACCCCTGTGCGAGTACGACCTGAAGATTTCCTCAAATACACACAGTTATACACACAGTTCAATCCAGATTTTTTTTTCTTTTTAGCTGACACTGAGCAACTTCCCCTTTCTGCTTCAGGAAAAGACAGAGGGGAGGCTTCCATCTGTTCCCTAAATGGAGCCCCTCAGAGAGAGAAGGTACTCTGCAGCATGTCCAACAGCCACAGAAGAAGTACACAAAAATGTTCTGAAGCTTCACCTTAAAAAGAAACCCAAACGAACTGTCAATAAGCCTCAGCCACCAGTTTTCCAACGGGTGCCAGCTCCCTGCAGACTTTGAAAAGGCTTGCACACACTTGAAGAATTTATATATGCATGACTCCCTTAAGCAAGAGAAATACTCTGCAGCAGCAGAAAAAGAAGAGGTCACTGCAAGCTACTGAGGTTTTTGAAATCCACTGATAAAACTACAGCTTTTACAAAATTTAATCCTAACAGTAGCTACACCAACCAGATGTCAGAGAAAAGCATATTCTGTTTAAACGACTTCCATCTTTTTCCTAACAAATAAAGCTCACCCTCAGACTTTGTAACACTGACCAAACTACTCTTAACTACATATTTGCTTCCTCCACTTAAATTTCAGGTACTATGTTGTTTTCTAGTTGGCACAAGTGATAAGGAAAGGGAGCGTGGACTGGGGTTCTGTGCTTTGTCTTGGTGGGGAGAGAGGAGGAAGGTCTCCAACAATTTGCTGGGTGAAGGTTTCTGGGGTTGTGCAGGTGAAGCACGTACGTGCCTCCAGCAGGAACCACAGAGACAGAGCCTGAAAGGAGACAATGTATTTCCACTGAAAATCTTCAGTTAGAACTGTTTCTATTTAAATAAAAAAGTCAGCATTTTAAATGTTCTGAAAGCGTTTCACAGCCAGTTTTGAATACGACTGCATTCCACACTTGCATGTGGTTTAATGCGTTTTACAAAAAAACATGTTTACATCTCCTTGATTTAAAAATTTATTATTTTTGCTTCTATTATTGTTTCTATGATGGGAATGATAACTATCCTGTCTATCTATTTCTTTTTTACTCTTGCCAAGGAACCCCAAACTTTATTCCTTTAATATGCACCTAACATGAAAGACTAGTACCTCCTTAAAGCTTCACAAATATGCAGGGGCATAAAATAGACGAGAATTACCCTCCTTCAGATGTTGCTGCTTTCATAAAAGAGCACTTTAAATATTCTGCCGCTCTGGTTGTGTTAGAAAAACATGTAATCTGCATTTGAAATATGAAGCCCATTTCATAACAGAAATTACGAATTCTGAAGTATCAGGTGTTTTAAATAAACCCTTTTTTGTACTAAAAATCACAAATTTATGTATGTTTTTCCAGCTTTTAAGTGGGGACCTGCTTGGTCAGAGCAGACATGTTTTAATGAAAAAAAACCCACCAAAAATACCCCCAAAAACCCCACAAACTAAAAGAAATCACAGAAGTAACTTGATTATCCAGGCAGAGCAGAGTGCACAGAGGTGTTCAAACCTCTGCTCTGCTGGAACATATTATTTTTGATGATAATAAATTGTCTTGATTCAGCTGAAGTATTTCCCTTCCTGAAACAAAAACCAAACAGCACCACTGGACAGTGCCAGCCCCTGAACAACTAAAGCCCTTTCCTCCAACACTTAGTTTTCTATTACACACAGGGTTTTATATTAAATATAACACCCCTCACAGGGTTTTATATTAAGATAACACCCTTGTAACCATAAGACTACTACTGCAGAAACTCCAACATCTGCCTAACATTACTGACCTCACACAAAAAGGGAACAGTTTTCTTTTCCTAGCACAAAAAGTTATTCAGTGCTCATCGTTAAGTAGAATAATAGTTTCATTTTTAAATATCTATTTAATATCATTTAAATGCCCATTAAATATAATTTGAATGTTACCCACAGCATTCAGAAAGCAAACCTGTATTTCTACCTTTCAGATAACACTAAGCCTAATACTTCATTATTATTATTATTATATAAATTTAGATTTTTAAATTCAGCTTTCCCTCCCTACTTTTGATTTTTGGTAAAATGGGAAGGCATGGTTCCTCCCCTCCCAATCCAGCTGTGTTTCTCATCTCCCTGAAAAACTCCCCAGTGCAAACTCAGTCTGGGTATAGAAGACAAATCTGGCACTGAGGTTGAGGGGTTCCTGTGCACCCCCATAAATTGTTATATACCATCAGACACAATGAAGACAGAGAAAAATCTTAATTTTAGTTTGAGGCAGAGGAGTATTTGTTCTAATATCTCCATATAAGGTTTTCTTTAAGCCAACAAAGACAGCCTGTTGCCAAATTCTAACCACAGCATGAATTACAGTTTGCATTTTAAATGCTGGCAACTAACTAGTGAAGGATTAAAAAGTGGTGTTTAAGCTTGCAGTGAAAAGTGGAGTGCAACAACTGGAAGAATATAAAGGTAGTAATTTTAGTTTGCCAGTAGTAAGGTAACTATTAATTCTTATAAATTCTCCAATCAATGTATAAAACCAGCAGATGCTTTATCATGTATTAGATTTGCTAATCAGAAATGCTGTCAGTACTCTGAGCCAACAGATTATTTTTATTTCTGAAGTCTCCCAATTTCATCCCTACTTAAACAATAGAAAAATACCTCTACTTCCACCACATGCTGAAATCTGAGGGGTTATAAAAGTTGCTTCTCAAAGGTGACTGACTCAATAGAAACAACTAAATGGTATTTGCTTTCCTGCTCTGAAAACTAAATATTAAACCCATATTTCCATAGCAACACATTTTGTACCTGTTAAAATACAGGTTCTTGTTGAAATACTTAAAGCCATGAAGTCAGTACCTATTCCAGGCCTTGTTGCAGCCAATGTGACTGTCTCAGAATCAAAAAATAAAAGAACAATACGTGTGTTCCTCCCCTTACAGCTAAATTAGGATGAATAATCATAGGAGCAGCAATGAGAACTCCCAGGCATCCTGGGAGAGCCGGTAAGACGAGTTCAAGTGTTAAGAGGCTTAACAGTTCCTGCAACATTCACTGACAGATTAAAGCTGCAAGAGATCACTTTTGAATTTACTTACCTTAAATGAACTGTGCACTAAAGTTTCATCTAAATCAATGACCACACACTTCTTCCCATAGTCTGATGCTGTCAGTTCTGGCAGGAGGTATTTAGCTGGTGGCTAAAAACACAAAGACAAGAGGAAGACAACAAAAAAAAGTAAAACTTCTATCCAAGGGGCACTCTTCTGCCAACATTACTATTCTAGCAATTACTGGGAGCTGGAATACATGACTCGAAATTCAATGCTTTTCTGGGATCATCTCAAGTACACATATGGAAATTAATGGCTCATGCAATTGCAATACCCATACAGACTTTTTTAATGTTATTTTTTAAATGAGAGACTAGTTTGGGATGACCTCCGAAGCACTGGAAATGAAAGTGGTAAAACATCATCACTAGCTAAGAAAATCCAGGGAGAAATAAGACATTTGATACAAAAACATCTTTTTGTAGTGACCCCTTCTCCTAATGCCTGGTTTTGGTTGCTGTTGTTATCCTATTCCCAACAATGCCATTTCCAGCCACAGCAGGCTGAGGGACATTTACACAAATCGTTATTTCTGTTTCCAGGAAAGGTGCTAAAGTGGAGGAATCCATCCTGAAGGAAGACAGCATTATTAATTTTTATCTTCTGGGACATGTCTTCACTTTCATTTGCACCACTTTGAGGGCACTGACCAAATTTCATGTGGATTATGCTCCCAGTCAAGACATTAAAACTGCAGTAAAGAACCTAAACTAGGCTCTTGTACATCATGCTGCCCTTTCTGAAAAATGGTACCAATTCCTTGAATTGACAATTTTTCTGAAAGCAATGCAGACAATCTCATATTCTTTGGATTGCTCATTTCCCACTTTAACACCCCAGTTAGCAATAAAATTATGGTTACTTTAGATTTTGGTACTGGATACTTCCTGAAATAACAGAAGTGGGAGAGAACGCTTCCATTTGGAGCTGAAACACTGCTGCCTCTCAAAGAGGGTTTTTTTTGATGAAGGAAAAGGATTAGTTTTATGGAAAAGTGTCAATAGGGAGAAGCTCAAGACTGAGAGGAAATAAAATTAATTTAGAATTGGGTACAGAACTCTTAACTTCATTCTTTTGCTATCTTTTTTTCTGTTCATGCAATGTAAGGATGCACCTATTGTGGTTTTGTTCCTTTCAGCAGCCCTTTGGAGAGGTGCTGGCAGAGATCTGAGGCCACCCCAGTGCAGGTGACACACAGGTTGAGTCAGACACCTCCACACACCCTCTGGCTGCCAGGACAGATCATCAAGCACTGACTGAATTCAGACCTTGTCTTAAGTTGACAGATACTGGCCAATGATGCCTAATAAGTTCTTGTTTAGAGGAAGCACCTAACAAATGAGATTCTGGACTTAAATAAGTGTCTTTAGCTAAAACAGAAGTTCTTGGGGCATTTTTAGGAGTGTTCACTGCAGTTGATTTAGTTCCTTACAATTAACAACGACAACAGTTCCTTCAGCTACCAAACTGGAAGCTGCCTTGCATACAAGCCACTTGTCTCAACACATTTTCTCTCAGCACAAATCTAACAACAACCTTCAAGAAAAAACAACTTCTGCCTAATGCCTGTAATGGATCCAATCCATCACAGTCACCCAACCAGGCTCAAATTTATAGGACACCCTTTCTAGGTTATACAGTCACACAACTGCTTCAGCTCTACCTCTGTTTGTTGGCAACTAGGGCCAGACCTAAAGAATTTTAGTTTCTCACTCCTTGATTTCAAAGCCCAAAAGGTATTTAGCACCCCACCTCAATTTTTCACAGCAAGAAGGATCCAAATTTGCATCCTGAACAGACAAAAAGGTTACTGAAAGAAAAATCCAACTCATTTAAAGATAATAATCTTCAGAACCCCTGTTCTGATACTGATTTGTCTTTGAAAATGCAAAAAAAGGAGGAACATCCCAAGAAACCTCAAGCATATTTTTTTCTTTTTAAATAATAGTTCAGTTCATTTTTGCACTCTTAGAACTGTATCTAGTTCAAATTTTTGACTACGTTAATCTGCACCAGCAGTTCAAAGCCAGAAATTCCTTTTGCTATATGAATTCTTTATCAAACTGAAAATACCTATAGCTATGAAAAATATATGGGAATAGATATTCTTCCATATAAAATTATGCTATGAAAAATAGGAGCCCTGTCTTATCACAGATATCTTTAGTTTTTTATCTGGAAACTGTTATGCTTCTCATCAAGAAAAGGATGGACATCTACCAGGGACTGACTACAAAATGTGAGAACCTTCAACTCTTTAGATAACCTGAATTCCTTGACTGCATTCAAGACAACCCATGCCCACCTTCTCCAATCACCTGCACCCTCTGCTTTCTCAAAAGCAGTGATAAGAGTTTCTCTCCCTTTTCAGTATTGCATTAAGAAATAATGTGCAGTTATTGACCTAACTTTACCTAACAAGACTAACCCTCCTCAAGGTTTTTCCTGGGGAAACACCAACCCTCCTACAAGCTTTGGCATCTTGGGTTCCATCTGATCCAGCTTCCCTAAGTTCACACATTTGAAGTTCAGAAGAAATGCGTTTTCCATTTCACAACCTGTGTCTCCGTTGCCCTCAATTGTGAAAACACATTTGCACCCCTGATAATCTAACAGGGATAAGGAAACTATTCTGGAGCTGAAGTCACTACGAGTTGTGAGGCTGCTAAATAGCTGGTGTAGGACTCTGGAGCAAGGATGACATTTTTGAGGCTTTAGGAACTTAAAGGATTTGCATGTAAATTATCAGTCCATTTGTTTTGCTGTTCAAGCTTTCTGATCTAAAGGAACTTCCATGTGTCAAGAGTAGCAAAGCTTTGAGGCAGAAACAAGCATTACTCAACACTGTATTTTAATTTCATTAACAGAGACATATCCAAAAAGAGTTCTAATTACCAGATTTCCACCATAGTTAACAGTGAATAGTTATGGATCTTTTATAATTTCTTTTTTTTTTCCACATAGTAGCTTTAAAGACATCTAAGATGATTAAGAATATTTAATAGTGGCTAACAGCAACTCATATTTACTATGCAATACTCTGAAAGGCTGCAGACTTCCACAGAACTCAGCAGAAAAATAACACGTGGTCTCTCAGTACTGTTAAGTCCTAGCTTGGTCTTCAATTCCAACAAGACATAAATTGTATACAAGTTAAACTAGTCACTGTTTGGGATTTATGCATTCCAGCCAGGTCTCATGGCTGATCAGCTCAACAGACCTTGTAGTGAAACGACTGCTGCACTGCTTCAGTCCCGTGGAAATAGTATATTCCCTAAGAAAAAAAAAAAAAAAAGGGGGTGGTGGTGGCAAGAGAACAGGACTTTTGGTTGAAGCATAAACAGCTGGTCAACACAAATCTTTCAGAAATTTACTGTATAAAACAATCATCAGCTTTCTTCCCTGTAGGCCCATATTTCCCACAGAGACAAGTATCAGAATTAATAAGCCCTTTTTTTGTTTCCTACACTGGCAATGTTGTCGAGCCTAAGTGCAGCACACTAATTCACTGTTCGTGTTCCCTTCAGCTCACACTCAGGGCTGCACTCTACAGAGCTAACAGCTTCTCCCAGCAGTTACACAGAGAAATACTCTTATAGAAGATAAATGGTTTCTACTTAGAACACAGTTGCCAGGAGATGCCAGCTCCTGTTATGGAACAGGCAGTTCCCAAAATTTCTTCTGTAAGTAATAACAAGGAATTGTCTAAATGTACGTGAGGACAAGTGAAAATCCCAGTGATGAGATTTAACTTCTGTAGGGATTCTGAAGGATAATTCTGGTACCACTTCTTACCAGTGGTATTTTATACTGAACAACAATTCAGGACAGTGCATGAGTGTGGCTTTGTATTTCCATCTACCTCTTTGTTCAAAAGAATTAAAAACAATGAAGTTGCTATGAGTCTACTTTGATTTGGGGGTTGGAACTAGATCACCTTTAAAATCCCTTCCAACCCAAACCATTGTATTATTATATGAGATACAAACAGGATATTTTAAAAACCCCCAAAGTAATGCTGGGTCTATTTTCTGAAGAACCTAATCTGAAGCTGGAATGTTTCTTCCTCAGCAGTTACCTCTATCAATAACCAAGCAAAAATCCATATTAACTCAATCAACTTTAAATTAATTGCAATTAATACAGGACAAATCTGCTTAGCAGAAGATCTCTTTCACTGCATTGCACATATAAATGCATCGAAAAGCAACACAAAACGCACATAAAGCAATGGAAGCTTTCAAACAGGTGATCTCAGCAGACAGCCAAGTTTTATACAGGCATTATAAAGCTCCAAAAATCCTCCTATTTTGACTGGAGGTTTCCACCTGAAAGTTTAATGAGTGGGGGAATGGGCAGAGCACTTTTCAGAGTCGTTAAGGGGTTCTCTAAGCACTTGAAGTGATGACATTTGCAACGAGCCCTATAAAAAGTAAATGTCCACTTAATTGTGACCAAGCTCACTCTGTGTTTAGAAGATTTTCCTCCATACAGTTCAAACAGCCCAGTTCTCACCCCTGTGTAGCAGGGCACCAAGAATTTCTGCCTTAATGGGTCTCAAACACACAGTTCAGAGCTGCCTCAGAGGGACCCTCTGGACAAACAGCCCTTGGAAGACTAATTTTAGGTGGTTTTTTCCTAACATAATGTTGCATTTTCTTTTCTACCACTTTCTCCACGTGCAGCTCTCACTTGTGCCTTTATTTAGATGATGACACACTGATGCTGGCTGGGCCCTGTCTGACAGCCAGGAGCACTGTGACACTGGAGAGTAAATGTCACACAACTGCCCGCGGGCGATGGTTGCTTGACAACATTCCCCATGTCCTGCTGGAAGGAGCATCAGATGGCACCAGGGAAGGGGAATGAGTGTGTTTTAAAGTCACCTGCTTGCTGAGAACTCTATGTCATGACTGCAGAGATAAGTTGACTTTACTGTCTTATTAAAGTGCTGGGAATATAGGTCAGCAAAATTACAGTTGAGCTTAAAAAAAAAAAAGGGGGGAGGAAAAAAAGAAATCCCTTCTTGAATCATTCATTTCCTTACCAGTACCCAAATCTAACAGAGCACTGCTTTAACACTGCAAAGACAATGTCCTAACAAAGTATCTCATTTCACTGCTGTACCTGTCAGATCTGTACTCATTTATAATTTCAAAATTTTGTTCTCTTTGAATTCTTTTTCTGTCAATACCTACACTCACTCTTAGCAAAGATTTTATTCCAGGTCAGAGCACAGCCAGAACATGTTTTGTGTTCAAATAACTACCAGCAGAGCAACTACAGTCACCTAACTGAATTTGGCAGGTATGTAAAAAGAAAAGTGATTCAGGAATCTGTATTTTCATCCATCCAATCTTTTCTATTTCTAGACTTGCATACAGATAAATTCCATGTGTGTACATGTGTGTGTGTTCAGACACACAAATCTATGCATGAGCCATATGAGAAATACCAGGTAAGCAACAAAAAGTAATTCCCAACAGTTCCTAAATCTGAGAAAAACTGGTGAGAGAGGGGAGATGTGCACAGTCACAGTGAGTTCCTGACACTTCTGCTCTGCAGCATGGACAGGGTTCTTACAGGAGGCTTTGTAATGTTGGGCTATGTGAGAAGGAAGGGAAAGAAGAAAAAAAATGGTATCTTGGGGAGTATCCAGGTCTTTAAAGGCAACCAAATATCTCAAACAAGAGGGCTGTGTCAGTAACTCTGCACATCAGCACTGCTATTTTATGGAAAACTGCATAATAAAGTATTATAAACAGCAAAGGAGCTAAAAAAAAAAAGTATTTTCAGATTTACAAAGCCTAAGCCTTCATCCTCATAAAAAAAAAGCAAAAAAGAGCAGCTTTTTGACCAAAAAAGGTTAAAACTAATTAAACTAAAAGCTTCAGTTTGAAGAACTTCTTTTTTTCCCTTCCTTTTATTTAGCCTTGAGAAATAATTCAGATGCCAAACAGCATTCCAAGTTTAATCCAGGCAAGATAAACAGAAATACTAAGGCCCATAAAACAGCAGCTGATACCAAGAGCATCATCTCAAACAAGGGCAGTAATGCAGCTCTAGCCAGTGTACTCTGTTTTCCTGAACTGACTTGTTTCAAATAAGTTTCACAGTCTCTAACTCTTCCTTTCAACTGGAATATTGGGAAAAGTGAGAGGTTTTTGTAACTGTGTCTCACATAGTGGTGATGAGTCACCTTTTGCCTCTATTAAAATAAGTAACTTCAACTTTTAGAGTACTTCAAGCATTTCCAAAATGGTAAAAGTTCAGATGAAATCCACATAAAACCCAAACTCTTCTTTTAGTCCCTGTGGAACACGTGCAGTTCAATTCATCTCTGAGTATACAACATCACAGACAGAACATAAAATCCTTTTGTTAACATGCAACACAAAACAGACCTGTTAAGACTGCAACATAAGATGAAACAAAGCAAAAGTTATGAAAATTATTAAAAGAAAAAGGGATAAAAATACATACACTTGGTATAGGCATGACCTGCATCTGGTCACCCTGGGGAAAAAGAAAAAAAAAAAATCACTGTAAGGGTAATGGCTTTTAAAGGGTAGAACAAAGGTCTGGAGCAGTAAATGTAGCACTCAAACATTTTAAACCAAAAGTTCAAAGTATTCAAGAAACCAGGGTAAAAAAAATAAAAACAGGGTCTTGCATTTTAGTCGCTGGAATGATCTGTTAGTACACTGGTATTTATGATTTTTAGGAGACTGGACTGGTAAAACCCATGCTATGATTAATAAGAGATGGCAATAAGAAAGTACCTGTATTTACTGTAACTTTTTCAGCTTTAAGATCTACTAATGGGTATATTTGTCAGTTTTCACTGCAGCAGCAAGAGGCTGAGCCAGACCTTGGTAGCAGGGCAGAAACCCACTCCTTGAACTGAACTTTCACTTGAGACAACTGACTCAGAAAAAACAGCGTATTCGCCCAGGCAATATAAAAACTAACCCAAGAAATCTCACTTTCTTCACCCAGAAAGAGGCAACAGTATCAGAGCTCTTCCCATGGTCTCACTTTTTGTTATGTACTTGGGAGGAGGCAAGAAAGTCTTGGCCAGATTGACTTTTTCTTCCCTTCCTGGGTCCTGATATACAGAGACAAGGACAGCTCCAAAATGGAGAAAGGCTGGTCACAGGGTCACTGACCCAAATATGTAAGGGATTGCAGAAAATGGGGACAAGTATTTGCTTTTTGGTAGGCACAGCACAAAAAAAAAAAAAGGAAGCTGATCCTTCTAGCATAGATATTACTTAGGAAGGTGATTTAATTCTTGAATACTTGGACAACAGAGGCTCTGACTTCCAGCAGAGCAATCACTGAAAGAGCTGTTTTCAACATTAGCACGGCCTCTTCCAGTTGAAGAAGTCTCGAGCTTACTTGTTTTGATGTCTACCACAGTGTTGACACATCACTGACAAACAGAAGTAATTCAGTATTAAAGTCCTCTTTTTTTTAGTGCTAAAACATCAGAAATTTTTAGTGAAGTTCGACCAAAATCCTGAGAAGTTGAAGAAGCAACCAGAGAGCAGCAACTACCGTGAACTATCAAAACCTCTGCACTAGTAAAAAGTATCAATGATTTCTAGAAAAACACATACACACTAGCTGGCAAGAATCCAACTTTCCCTCAGGGTAATAGCAATAAGAAAAGAAAAAGATCATAATTCAGCCCGTTGATGTTCTGTTAGTGGAACTGACTTCCATGGGAATCCAGAACTGAAGCTGCTATAGGACTTGCATTACTGTTTGCTTTATTTTTCTCACAGAATTTCTTAAGTAATAATAATAACAATAATAAAAAAGCAAGTAAATTTCCTAGGAGGAACCCTAAAAGTACCTCTGCAAACATCAAAAAGGTAAAGATGAGAACAGCAAAAAACAAGCAGAAAGATAATTGCACGAGTCTGCTGGGAAATTATGAGTGCTCACCAACAGGCAAATGTTTTTTAAAAACAAGCCTGCTATGGGAAACTTCTTAAAAGTGTCCTGCCTCATTTCCTAATGCTTTGGAACAGGAAGGGGAATAGGTCACACCGGTATCGTTTGAAATACATGACAGATGACTGCATTTGTTGAAGGCTTTCCACGAGCTCCTCATGTTGGGAACAGGACAAAGCTGTTCCTAGAATGCCAAAATTTCCCTATTGTATCGCTAAAATAACCCAGGAACTGATTTGTCCAACCATTGAAATCAGGGTTGTTTTATTTTCACAGCACACTATACACAGATGAAATGATAAATCCTATCTTTTCCCTTAGCTGTGTAATTTTGGTTTAGAGACACAACATTTCCAGTACCACGTTGTTCATTAATGCTGTCTATGGTCTTGTGTGGGATCAATGAGCACCAAGTGACAGGCCATATTATTTTGCTTTTTTTTTGAGAACAGTCTGTATTCAAAGATAAGGAGTTGTTTCATTTTAGAGAAAAATCTGTTATTTTGATCAGCTTCATCATATCCATTTCTTCAATTCAAAGCGTATTCTAGACCATGACAGGTTCTTTAAAAACAGCAATATAGTTACTATTGGACTCTTTCATTGACTTTCAATATCAAGCTTTGTCTCTTAATACAGAGGACTTTTTGGGAGGCAAAGAAGATCAGAATGAGTGAGCAGTGAGAGAGGAACCAACCTCAGCTATGCAGAGGGGGTTTTGTTTTCTAAACAGACCTTCCATACCACATATTGATGTTGGCCAACAGAACCAAACACTTGGAATTTTCTTGCTCAGATCAGCAAAAGTTAAGCAGGAGAAAAAGTACTAGGATTTACATTAATCTCAGTTATCTTTTTCCACACTGGAGAGTGAGAGTGGCTTCCACATCCTCTCAGAAAGCGTGTCATTGATGGTCTCCTCCTCAAAGAGAGCTCGTGCTGCTCCTCAAGGTCTCTTCCATGAAGGAGGTACTACTTTGCCCTCAAGAATGTGCTCCCTACAAGCTTGTTTTTCTCATTTTGCTGGACCATATTCAGTGGGATAGAGAAGATCCTTTTTCCTGCACTGTGTTAAAAACAGATTCCTGAAGAAGAGAACAGTGTTGGAGACATGACCATAGGCCATCAAAACAGCTTTCCAGCATCACCTTGGAGATGATGGTGCAGCAAAAAGCAGTGGGGAGAAGGAGCCCTGACTTTTGTAAGTTGTTAGGATGGGTGAGGTGGGAACGCAGCTACAGGGAAAGCAGCAGGGGCAGCTGCTGCCCCCAGAATAAACCTCCTCCTAATTCTGTCTTCTTCCCTGTTGAGTGTGGATCAAGACCTTCTCCTCTAATCCAACAAGTATAAAAAAAACTTCCCTCATTCATGCTTCATCTCGTTAACACGAGCCATCTGCCCGATTTGGATCTCACTGTGAAACAAAAGCAAGGATGACTCCAGTGGAAGTGGGTTGAGAGTGAAATGGCAAAGTGCCGATAGACTTGTCAGAGCTGCCTCACCCACCAGGGCTGAGAGCAGAGGGAACAAAAAGCTATTTTGCATCTAGCTGTTTTCACCTCTCTCTATCTGGATCCCACTCCTTGCAGCCTGAGTGAATGAAATCTGTTATCTGCAAACACCTCAAAACTCAGATAACAGACTTACCCAGAAGGAAAAAAACTTACATCCAGAAGCACGCCCAGAAAACTGCACAAATTGAGTCAAGTTGCCAACAGAAGAATGGGAATTGAGACTTGAATTTATTCAGAAGAAAACAAAAACCAATTCCCCTCTTCCAACACTCTGGCCTCTAAACAAAAAAATGTGGCTGGAAGGTGTTGGGGAGCTGCCTGCTGCTGAGGAGGCAGGAAAAAATTACCAAGGGTTTCATGAGGCTGAACATTGTGTGCTCCCAGTGACACATCTGGCTCAGCATCCAAGCTGCAGGCAGGCTGATATACCCACTGTCACAGACATTACATCTCCACAATACATCTTCATGCTGTGCTAAATAGCTGCTGCATTTTAAGAAAAACAAATATACCACAGTTTCAGTAAATACAAGTTATTGTTGAAAAAAATGTTGTATTGAAACTTTAAGAGACAGAATGGACCATTCATTACCAGTATTAGAGTCACACTTGGGCAAGCAGCTGCTCTGTGAGGAGAAGGTTTAAAAGTGAACTCAATACTTCAAAGAAGTTTTTGGGCTTTTTTTTCCCCCTAGCAGAACAGAAGTCAGTGCTGAAAAAAATTGTTTATTCAAAACCATGCCCAATTTGGGGTTTCTTCCAATCCTATGAAGAAGTGACATGACACTTGACATGTCAAGCATCATCAAGTCACATCATGAAGCACTGATTAATCTGAAGCACTGATTAATCTGAAGCACTGATTTCATTTTTTCTAGTACAGCCAAATAATAATAATAATAATAATAATAAAAATTAAATCACACAATGCAATTACTCTGAACAGAATTTCACAACTGTGTTTTCAATTACTTTATAGAATACTCTCCCCTGCTTTCCTTCCTTTTGAACAGGTCAGCATTTAAAGAATCAAGATTCCTGATTAGAAGGGAGTCAGCTTGTCACATCAACTTCAGCTTCAAGAATATGCCAGAAGCAACACAGAACAAACACTGAATTCCTGTGAAACCAGCAGTTGTCTTCCCCACTCCTTCCCTTCCTCTGAAGTCTTTATCACCAGTTTACATGTAACAACTCCACTGAACAGTAAAGACAGAAGGAAAGTACATCCAAGCCATTTTATATGGGTTTCTAGTGGTCACTGTTTATTGAGCAATGTTCTTTGTCCATTTTTGAAGGAAAGGGTCACAACACATGAGCTGACTGGGCCATGGCCAGAGGTGAACTGTGATGTGATAATTAATTTATAAAACATACAAATGAGATAGCAGATATAAGTAAGTGATCATTTGAGCAGCAGTTCAACAGAATTCTAACCTGGCAATAAGAATAATGCAAAAAAGAGCTTTAATTTAACAGCAGAGGGGTTTAAGCAATGTGTTGTCAACCTTTATTTTTTTTCCTGAAACAGGTAATTTGGCCATTCCTGGACATTTAATTTCACCAATTTAGAATCCAAAGCCCACTGTTGCATGTACTTTCCCCCATTACTTATAATTTCTGAACCTAGACAAGATGCTCAGTGTAACTCCATCGAATTCAAGCAGCCTGCACAGTTCTAAAACAGCTCTCCTGGCAAAAAGCACCAGCCTGACAGGGTAACAATATTCAAACATACCCAAGTCTTCAACACTCTCTTTAAAGAATTTCTTATTTACACTGTGTTAGTACTCAATAAAAACAGCACATAAAAACACATACAAAGCTTATTAGTCTTTAATACTGCATTTAAAATAGCCATGTCACAGACTTATTTGCACTGAAGAACCACCTAAAAGTTCAGCTGTGCTTGATTTCTTCTATAAAGGTTTGAGTATTTGAGTGCCTTTCATTCAATTAAAGAAAACACACTCTTTAATTAAACTCTCTTCAACATGTTCCTTGAATTTTTTAACTCTCTTAAGTTTTAACCTGGTAATTCTATGAATGCTTCTCTTCCACATACTCCTTGAATTTTTTTACTCAAGTTTTAATCTGCTAATTCTACGAATGCTGTGATTTGTGTCTTGGTCTTGTGTACAAGTGTTGCCCAGCTCCAAAACTGCTCACTGAGGCAGCAGAGTGGGGATGGAAACTCGTGTGAACACACGAGCCAATCACTCACTCAAGGCATAAGATTTATTTAGAAAGTAATTAAGTGTTTTAGAAAATACAATCTGGAAACTACCGACTCCAGACCGTTTTTACTCATGTTTTCTGTAGCAAAAAATAAACTTTGTTTTATGTTTTTCTTTCTAATGAACTCCCATTCTCTCTCAGCTGTAGTTTTGCCAGTAGTCTCACTTCAGCCTACTTTCCATTGCCCAGCACAGTGGAAAGGGAAATTTTATTAGTTTCCCACTCCTTTTGTTTCTCAGATGAATGTGTGCGCACATGCTACACACTACTCAGCTTTCCCTTCAGCACATCCAGGCTGGATTTCCCTCATTTCAGTCAGAATGTACCTTGGCTAGCTTAGAGTAAGTCTAAAAATACATGTACAATTCCTCCTCTTGGCAGAATTCTCAGGGCACTTCACCTCTGCGTGAGCACTTTCAGCATGAACTGCTCCAGTTCAGACTTCACCTCCACACGTACTCTCAGTCTCCATCACTTTAATCTGCTTTCACCAAGCAGCTCCTCTGCTCTTTCTCCTGAGCTTTTCAGAATTCAAACATAACCAGCAAAATCCAAACCAGGATAAAATGGACTGGACAAAGGTGGGTAAGGAATCCACTGCATTGGACATGAAAAATTAGGTGAAAAGCAGGAGGGTGATTCTGTGATCTCAATTTCTGCTATTATTCCCCACCATGGATACACCTATATGTCCAATTTCAAAGTCCTGGAAAAATGTATGGAAAAGATGGCACTCCTGTGTTTGCCATATTGAACTGAAATTCTTCAGTTCATAACACAAACACTCTCAGTGCTATCAGAATTAAAAAGAACATATAAAATCATTAGTGTTGTGATTCTGTGAATATGGTAAAGCAATGTAATTCCTAGAATTCAAAGTAACATTTTGCTGTTACACAAAATGCTTTGAAGTGCTAAAATTTCTATCAATTGATTTATTAGGTAAACAAAGCTTAATAATATGGAAAAATGGCCAAAAGCTGATAATTCTGGATTCAGCATGTATTAAATAGAAGCGAACTGTTTAGGGGAAAAGGTCCAAATAATGGTTCTCCCTCTTGTTGATTTGTTTTGCTGTCACTAAAACCCCTTCTAAGTGATATTTAAAAGGTTCCACTACTCTCCAGTGGACACATTTTAACCTTCCTGTAATCAGGAAAAGGGAACCAAAGCCAGAGACAACTCAGCAGCTGAAATTTTATGAGAAGCCTACCTTTTTTTTAGTGTCTTAAATCAGGTTTTAAATGTTGTTTGCTTATAAAATTAATACTGCCAACACTGTCTACGGAAACACTGCTTTTAAACTGCAGCTGAATAGAAAGTATTAGCAATTCACCATCGAGACAGTAATTTTTTCTCTAAATCATAACAGGTTTCCCTCAGGTTAAGACAAACCTTTGGGAGCAGAGTTAAACCTGGGTTACAAAAGAGTCATATGACAGCAAAATAAGATAAAATCCTGACCTTCTGAAGTCCTCCATTCTCCTCCACCAAAGGAGGCAGAGCACTGGTGCTGTTGGTAGATGGTGGTTCGACATTGTAGTCACGAAAGCAGCAGAATAAGGTGCTAAAGATACTTCGACTCCTCTGCTTCTTCAGGCTGATATTACATTGGGACACTAGAGAAAAAAAAACACACAGCAGAAAAATAAATTCATGTATACAGACCTGGTTTTCCAGACCACAACAACTGCATTTAAGATGTATAGTTATTGTACTCAGAAGTCTTTAGCAAGATAACCTTACAGAGATTCTCCATCATGCTGAGACCCGCTTCCAAATCAACACATTTTTCCCTTGTTAGACTCATATGGTGATGTCAGCCCACTACAATCATACTGAGACAGTGCACTGAGAGTTTTCCAAGTAATATCCAAAGCAAATAATGTAAATACACACAATAACTTGCTGCTAAAATGTGTCTCTGGACTGAGGAAGCAGAATATCTAAACCAAAAGAAACCCACTAAATGCCTGCTGATGCCCAGGCATAGTTTCCATCCAAACACAGCATCATGTGTGGAACATTTAAAACTCCTACAAGGGTCAGGAAAAGCTCTGAGATGTTTCTGAATTTCCTCTGTTACTGTTTGACAGCACTGCTGGAGGACAAAAAGACACAACACAGAGGCAGTGCTGGGAGCTGCACCACTGGCTGCAGGAACAAGGCTGCAGAGGGTGTTACTAAACAAACAGGAGCCCTGGCCTTGCTTTTCAACTTCTTTATTGGTCCACCAGGATTGAAAAAAAATACTAGCTTGGTAAAAAAATACATACAGCTCACTGAAAGCAAGTGTAGCATTTTTAAAGACTGAAAACTGTAGATAAAAAGCAGTTTGGAAGAAAGAAATGCACATAGGACATCTGGGGATTCCCCTCAGATTCAAACTCCTGAGAATTAAATCTTGAATGCACATTAAAATAAAATGGAGTAATACAGAAGAGTTGAAAAAAAAGTTTTAGAGTATTTTAAGTAATATTTGATTTGATCGCCAAATATTTTAATGATCTGTTGTTATACTTCGAGGTATTACCTACCTAGAAGTATTTGTTTCCTGTGCTGGGTAGAAAACCAAACACTCCCCCATCCCAAAGTTAGAGGGTGAGTGGAATTCTCAGTGAGTCCCAGCACACACACCAATATACAATTCCCCATCTTTCCTCCCCTCTCAGATTATTAGGGGACTGCCACATCTACCTGAATGTACAAATATATCAACACAAATTATTAATACATTATTAACACAATTATTAACACATAAAGAAAATTTCAGTGGAAGAAGGAGCCATGTGTGGAATGGAACTGATCTCCCTGGAAAACCTGAGGTATGGATTCCATCATGCTCTGAAGGTGTGCAGGTTCACACGGGTGCTCTGACAAGAAAGTCACGTAGAACAGATTCTGAGTGACCTTTCAAACACTCTCTGAAAAGAGAAACTAAACCTTCTGATTTTGTAGGCCCAGCATAAGTTAGATATCCAGAATTCCACCTCTAAAAGCACCTGTGAGGTGTCCAACAAGTCCAACAGTGATTTTCTGATCTCCACATAGTCTGTATTTGTGGCCTTTCAGTATGTAAAGGGAGCTTACAAAAAAGAGGGAGAGCAACTTTTTACACAGACAGAGAGTGACAGGACAAGAGGGAACCACTTTAAATTGAAAGGTGAGAGATTAGATTAGATATTAGGAAGAAATTCTTCCCTGTGAGGCTGGGGAGGCCCTGGCACAGGTTGCCCAGAGAAGTTGTGGCTGCCCCATCCCTGGAAGTGTCCAAGGCCAGGTTGGACGGGGCTTGGAGCAACCTGAGATAGTGGAAGGTGTCCCTGTCCATGGCAGGGGGTTGGAACTGGATTGTCTTTAATATCCCTTCCAACCCAAACTATTTTAGGATTCTGCAGTGAGCAATGCTCAGGTTCAGTTACTAACTGCTATTAAGAGGAAAGTGTACCAGTATCAAAAACTAAAAGTCTATAAAAACTTGCACCATTTAAAAAGTGCTCAGATAAGAGAATAAAGTCAGAATTGTGCACAGATTTGTGCATGTCCATGAGCTTAAGGAAGGTGTTTCATTACTTTAAAAGGCATTTGTAAACTGAAACCAATCTAACGCTGCTTATCAATACTCCAGTCAAACAGAAAACACACACACAACTCTGGCCGCTGCTGGTACAAGTTACAGTAAAAGACTCATTCTCAGATTGTCACATTCTGTTTGCAGCAACATGAGTTCAGAAATCCCCAAAGGATGCCTGGGCAGCTGGGAAGGACTTTTTTAAAACAGCAAGAAAACTGGTATTGCAAGCACAAGCAAGTTTGTTGCAATATAATCCAGGCAAGGAGAACTCCTTTCCGACATTAAAAATTGAAATACGCTGAAATTAGAACGGGAAGAACAATGCTGTGTGTCCTGTTCCCTACAGCTAGTGCCACAAAAACCTTCCTCATAATTTTTATATTGTTTCCAGCCTCTGTTTAAGAACATGAGGGCAAATAATGCCATTTGAATGCAGGTATGAATCACAGCAGTGTGGTTAAACTTTTAACTTGCAGCAGATCAATGGGAACACCACGACCCTTTCAGAACTAAATTGTATCTTCTCTACTTACCACAGAAAGAGGCAGTAAACAGCAAACTGCCTAAATAAACATTCAAAAATCTCAGACAAAAGAAATACTGGTTGGTCCAAACCTTCTAAGAACACTTGGATCAAATCATACATTCGAAATCTGGCCACTCCCTTTCACTTACTGAAATATTTGTTCTAGGAAAAATAATCCTTCGTGTTGGTTTTAGTCTTGACAATTTTGCCATTCATAACACAGTGGTGTTTTAAATAGGTCTTTCCACTAATTCAGATGTTATTTTAAAGGGATATTCTTTAAAAATAACATATTATAGAGGCTTTACTGTGACTTAATAAATGATAATTTTGGATGCAGTAAGGAACTGAAGATCTCAAGTGGACTTACATGCTGTGCCGTATTAACACGCACAGGTATTATCAGAAGAAGAAAAAATTTGCACCACATCTCATTTTTAGCAACTATGACAGTGTTGTGCATCATGGAAAATATTTTCCCCTTCCTTAGTTACACTGAACCACCTGCAAACCCTGTGCTGTTTGCTGGATTTGCTTTTCTTAAAGCAGTGACAATGCAAATATAACAACTACAAAGGGGAAAAGAAGCATTAACATTGAATCTCTACCATAAATTTGGGCATTCTGGCTACCAATAAATTTTAAAAAGGCAAAACTGCAGAGGACAAAACCTGGCACTCCTTAAAAGCTTATAGATAAGACCAAGTAGTAACAATACTGGAAGGGTAAACTGAATTAGCTAAACTCCAAGTGTGAGTGGCATCCAGCACGTGGAACTTAGGGGACATTTTCTCCCTTCCCCCTGCCCATCTTTTGGAAGCTGGAACTTCAATTTCTGGAGCAGTTCTCAACAAATTCCACTTTCATGGCTTTGTCCCATCACATTTTGAACCTACACTGACTTTTAGTGCCCAAAGCATCCCATGGCAGGAAGGTTCACAGCTCTGCCAAGAGTTCAGCACTTCATAACTCTGACCCTCTTTGTTTCTGCAGTCTCTAATTCACATTTTTGAGGAGGAACTAGAACACACACAATATCCAGGATGAAAGGAGAGCACCATGAATTTATACACCCACGCAATACTTTGTTCTCTTACTTTCCTAATCTTTCCTGATATCTTATTTGAGTTTTACAACAAGTGAGCGCTGGGCTAATGTGATTTTTCAGATCTGATTATAACACCAAAATCTCTTCATTAGTAGATATTTCAGGCATCACTGCAAATGTAAATCAAGAATTCTTATCTCTTCCCATGCAGAAAATGTCACATGTATCTACACTTAATTCCATCTGCTATTTTAAAGGCCAGTCATTCAGAATCAAGCTGCCTTCCTACAACTCTTCACAGTTAGGTTTTAGGTGTACATACAGGTGCACACACATCTACAAAAATGCACAGACAAACACTCAAGCCTTTCCCTTCCAAATTTTGTCACCTTATTTTCTTTTCCATATGGTTTAAGGCCACACTGAAGAGCAGACTGCACAGATCCCTGTGGAACTGCTTCCCCAGGGATCTCATGGAGGTCTGCAAGAGCCTTCAGTGGAGCACTTTTCAAATTATCTGAATTTGGAAAAAAGAAAAAAGAGCACAGCTCTTCCTGTTCAGAAGGGAAGTCCCTCTAGTACAGATTTCCCCTAATTTAGAAGTATAGGGTCTCACCTATAATTTCCAGATGCCGTTTTTAAGGACAAGACTCACTGATCATAACCCATGTGCTACCCACCCACTGCTTGTGGGTATGTTAATTCCTGAATTGCCTGGAACCTTCTGGAATCCAAAGCTGGTCCACAGAACCGTGCTTATCAAGGTCTTCTGGCAAGTCCTAATAAACCCACTAAGCCTGGGGAGGGGCTCAAGGAATGATAAAGGCAAGTTTTAAAATAAACTGCTGTACCACGTAAGCTTAGATGGAAGTATGGAACCATACTGGGTGGCTGCACAAAGAGAACAGGAAGAAAACCACCCCACAACAAAGCCCAAATGTTACAGGCAAATGTTATAATAGAAATTAACACCAGAAGTCATCTACAGCATCTCCTCCAACTTCCCTTCACACAGACCATCCTGGGGAGGCACGAGGGTTGTGCTGCTCCTCTCCCACCAGGACAGTTCCAGCAGCAGCACAAGCCACACAGCAAAGGAAAAGATCTTCCCTCGTGCACTGAATTCTTTAAAAAGTTTGGTTCAGGGCTTCTCCCATCAAATTTTGCTGCAGGGGTGTGAAATTTCTACACCAGGTTGTTGTGCAGCCTCGTTCAACCAACCCCTCGCTGCTGCAGGAAGGCACCACGGGATAACTGGAAGGCTCCAGCCCATCCCTCCTCTGCAGCCATGAGTGAGCTAATTACCGCTGGGTTTTTTCCTAATTAAATGAATGCAATATCCAGTTCTCCCAAATAATATAAGCTGGGTAATGAAGAGATTTTCCGCTTACAGATGAACTCGCTAAATGCAATAAAATGAACATCTGGGTAGGACGAGCCCTCTGCTAAGAAGTTTGTTTATAACACAGGA